TCTGTGTAAGAAACCTATGATGTGTCAAATATTTAATCACAATCCAAATTCAGAGCTGTATCAAACTTGAATGTTGTGTCCATACTTGCCCCAACTGTTCAGGGTTCGACCTCTGCGGTCGTATCAAGCTGCGCCCAGCGGAGCATTTTATTGGTTATTATCTTGAATATTATTATAGATAAAGATAAACTGTAAACAGCAATAATGTTCAGCAAAGTAAGATCTACAAATAAGTTGTCATGACCAAAATTGTCAGTCGACCCCTTTAGGAGTTAAAGCCCTTAATAGTCAATTTTTAACAATTTTTTGTAAATTTTTGTAATTTTTGTCGAGCCTGCGACTTTTGTCGCAGAAAGCTTGACATAGGGATAGCGATCCGGCGGCGGCTGTGGCTACGGCGGCGGCGGCGGCGGCGGCGTTAGCTAACTTCTTAAAAGCTTTATATTTTAGAAGATGGAAGACCTGGATGCTTCATACTTTGTATATGGATGCCTCATGTTATGAAGTTTCCGTCAGTCACATGTCCAATGTCCTTGACCTCATTTTCATGGTTCAGTGACTACTTGAAAAAAAAGTTCAGATTTTTTGTAATGTTAAATTCTCTCTTATTATAAGTAATAGGATAACTATATTTGGTATGTGCGTACCTTGCAAGGTCCTCATGCCCGTCAGACAGTTTTCACTTGACCTCGACCTCATTTCATGGATCAGTGAACAAGGTTAAGTTTTCGTGGTCAAGTCCATATCTCAGATACTATAAGCAATAGGTCTAGTATATTCGGTGTATGGAAGGACTGTAAGGTGTACATGTCCAACTGGCAGGTGTCATCTGACCTTGACCTCATTTTCATGGTTCAGTGGTTATAGTTAAGTTTTTGTGTTTTGGTCTGTTTTTATACGACCGCAAAAATTGAAAATTTTTTGGTCGTATATTGGTATGACGTTGGCGTCGTCGTCGTCGTCGTCGTCGTTGTCGTCGTCGTCGTCGTCCGGCGTCGTCTGGCGTCGTCCGAAGACACATTGGTTTTCGCACTCTAACTTTAGTTTAAGTGAATGGATCTCCATGAAATTTTACCATAAGGTTCAATACCATAAAAGGAAGGTTGGGATTGATTTTGGGGGTTATGGTACCAACAGTTAAGGAATTAGGGGCCAAAAAGGGGCCAACAATAAGCATTTTTGTAACTTCCAGACAATAACTTGTGTGTAAGTGTATGGATCTCTCTGACATTGTACCACAAGGTTCCATATCACAAAGGGAAGGCTGTAATTGATTTTGGGGGTAATTGCCTCAAAATGTTAGGAATTAGGGGCCAAAAAAGGGGCAAAAAACAAGCATTTTTCTAGTTTCATGACAATAACTTGTGTGTAAGTGTTTGGATATTTCTGAAATTGTACTACAAGGTTCCATATCACAAAGGGAAAGCTGGAATTGAGTTTGGGGGTAATTGCCCGAAACGTTTAGGAATTGGGGGCCAAAAAGGGGCCAAAAATAAGCATTTTTCTAGTTTCCAGACAATAACTTGTGATCAAGTGTATGGATCTCTCTGAAATTGTACTGCAAGGTACCATACCACAAAGGGAAGGCTGAGATTGAGTTTGGGGGTGATGAATCATAAGGGGGTTCAAAAAATTTTGGGGGGGGATTTTTTTTTTCTTTTTTTCCTTTTTTTTTTCTTTTAAAATTTTCCATTTTCAGTTGGTTATTTCTGATTTATATTTAAAAGCAAATAATAATGATATGGTAGGAGATACACACCAAACAGGATGTGTAAATTATTATATAATAAGTATTGTGCAATAGCAAGAAATTTTCAATTGCACAGTATTGCACAATAGCAAGAAATCTTCAATTGCACAGTATTGCGCAATAGCAAGAAATCTTCAATTGCACAGTATTGCGCAATAGCAAGAAATATCCCATAGCACAATATTGCGCAATAGCAAGAAATTGTCAATTGTACAGTATTGCGCAATAGCAAGAAATGATCAATTGCACAGTATTGTGCAAAAGAAGATACTTCGTATAAATTGCTTATTTCTTGATCAATTTCAATGGGGTTTTATTCTTGAATTCTTGGGGTTCTTTAATATGCTGAATCTAACCGTGTATTAAGTTTTTGGATTTTGGGCCCCGTTTTTAAATTGGTCCACATTGAGGTCCAAAGGGTCCAAAATTGAACTTTGTTTGATTTCATCAAAAATTGAATTATTGGGGTTCTTTGATATGCCGAATCTAACCGTGTATTTAGATTCTTAATTTTTGGTTCTGTTTTCAAATTGGTCTACATAAAGGTCCAAAGGGTCCAAAATTAAACTTAGTTTGATTTCAACAAAAATTGAATATATGGGGTTCTTTGATATGCTGAATCTAACCATGTATTTAGATTTTTGATTATGGGCCCAGTTTTCAAGTTGGTCCAAATCGGGGTCTAAAATTAAACTTTGTTTGATTTCAACAAAAATTGAATATATGGGGTTCTTTGATATGCTGAATCTAACCATGTATTTAGATTTTTGATTATGGGCCCAGTTTTCAAGTTGGTCCAAATCGGGGTCCAAAATTAAACTTTGTTTGATTTCAACAAAAATTGAATATATGGGGTTCTTTGATATGCTGAATCTAACCATGTATTTAGATTTTTGATTGTTGGGCCCCGTTATCAACTTTGTCCACATTGAGATCAAAAGGGTCCAAAATTAAACTTTGTTTGATTTCATCAAAAATTGAATATATGGGGTTCTTTGATATGCTGAATCTAACCATTTATTTAGATTTTTGATTATGGGCCCAGTTTTCAAGTTGGTCCAAATCGGGGTCCAAAATTAAACTTTGTTTGATTTCAACAAAAATTGAATATATGGGGTTCTTTGATATGCTGAATCTAACCATGTATTTAGATTTTTGATTATGGGCCCAGTTTTCAAGTTGGTCCAAATCGGGGTCCAAAATTAAACTTTGTTTGATTTCAACAAAAATTGAATATATGGGGTTCTGTAATATGCTGAATCTAACCGTGTATTAAGTTTTTGGATTTTGGGCCCCGTTTTTAAATTGGTCCACATTGAAGTCCAAAGGGTCCAAAATTTAACTTTGTTTGATTTCATCAAAAATTGAATTATTGGGGTTCTTTGATATGCCGAATCTAACCGTGTATTTAGATTCTTAATTTTTGGTTCCGTTTTCAAATTGGTCTACATAAAGGTCCAAAGGGTCCAAAATTAAACTTAGTTTGATTTTAACAAAAATTGAATTTTTAGGGTTCTTTGATATGCTGAATCTAAACATGTATTTAGATTTTTGATTATGGGCCCAGTTTTCAAGTTGGTCCAAATCGGGGTCCAAAATTAAACTTTGTTTGATTTCAACAAAAATTGAATATATGGGGTTCTTTGATATGCTGAATCTAACCATGTATTTAGATTTTTGATTTTTGGGCCCTGTTATCATTTTTGTCCACATTGAGATCAAAAGGGTCCAAAATTAAACTTTGTTTGATTTCATCAAAAATTGAATTCTTGGGGTTCTTTGATATGCTGAATCTAACCATGTATTTAGATTTTGGATATTGGACCATAATAGGTGAATGTCCAATTTAAAATTTTTAAGTTCTTAGACCACATTCATTCTGTGTCAGAAACCTATGCTGTGTCAAATATTTAATCACAATCCAAATTCAGAGTTGTATCAAGCTTGAATGTTGTGTCCATACTTGCCCCAACTGTTCAGGGTTCGACCTCTGCGGTCGTATCAAGCTGCGCCCTGCGGAGCATTTTATTCTTATACTGTATGCAATAGGTCTACTATATTTGGTGTATGGAATGATTGTAAGGTGTTCATGTCTAGCTGGCAGGTGTCATCTGACCTTGACCTCATTTTCATGGTTCAGTGGTCAAAGTTAAGTTTTTGAGTTTTGGTCTTTTTTTCTAATACTGCATGCAATAGGTCAGCTATATTTGGTGTATGGAATGATTGTAAGGTGTACATGTCTAGCTGGCAGGTGTCATCTTACCTTGACCTCATTTTCATGGTTCAGTGGTCAAAGTTAAGTTTTTGAGTTTTGGTCTTTTTTTCTAATACTATATGCAATAGTTCAACTATATTTGATGTATCGAAATATTTTATGATCTATATGTCAGTCACGCAGGTTTTATTTGACCTTGACCTCATTTTCAAGGTTCATTGCTCAGTGTTAAGTTTTTGTGTTTTCGTCTGTTTTTCTTAAACTATAAGCAATAGGTCAACTATATTTGTTGTATGGAAGAATTGTTAGCTGTACATGCCTGCCTAGCATGGTTCATCTGACCTTGACCTCATTTTCATGGTTCATTGGTCAATGTTTAGTTTACTTGGTTAATGTTAAGTTTATGTGACAGTTGTAATAAAGCTTTATATTTAGGACTATCAACATAATATCAATGATTAGTAAAGAAGGCGAGACATTTCAGCGTGTGCACTCTTGTTTACAAAAATCTTCTTCTCTGAAACTACTGAGACAAATTTAACCATACTTGGCTATAATCATTATTAGGGTATCTAGTTTAAAAAATTTGTCCGATGACCCCGCCTTCCAACCATCATGGCCGACTTGGTTAAAAATAGAACATAGGGGTAAAATGCAGTTTTTGGTTTATATCTCTGAAACTAAAGCATTTAGAGCAAATCTGACAGGTGGCAAAAATGTTCATCAGATTTAGAGTTATCTGCCCTAAAATTTTCAGACGAATCCGACAACCGGTTGTTGGGTTGCTGCCCCTGAGTAAGTAATTTTACAAAAATTTTGCAGTTTTTTGTTATTATCTTGGATATCATTATAATATCTAATATCCAATACTATTAATTATGATTTTAACCTTATTTTACATGATTTCCAAAGCATCAGTAAATACAGGTGAGCGACACAGGCTCTTGAGAGCCTCTAGTTTCAGAACCATATCTGTAAATATACAATTTGTAAATTTCTATTGATTAGCATTACATTGATTTATTATTGTTTCAGACTTGCAGTAGAGTTATACTTCCCCCTGAAGTCAAACAAACCTTTATGGAGAAGTTAAAAAGACCAATGTCTTATCTTCAGAGAAAAGCTATGAGAAAGAAAATTTATGAAAGGAGTAGAAAAGTGTCAATATGTCCATATTGTGCTGCATACAATGGTAAAACTTTTTTTTTCTCAAAGTATTGCCTGAAAGGGGCATTATTTACAAATTAGACAAAATATAATTTTTTTTTTTTTGGGTTTCAAACATCAGTAAAAGCAGAATATAGAAACATTTATTTGCTATTAACAGTCAGTTTCATCTAGTTTCGTCAAAATATTTTATAAAAACCTCACTGAATTATTATTGGCTTGCAAGTCAATATGTCAACCTCATTTGAACCATATTTGTATGAACTTTATTTGACCCTAAGAAGAGATGGGTTGCACATGTGGTCAGCATGTTCATTCATTAAAAAGAAAAGAATGTCAACATTGAAAAATGAAACAAGGTGCAACCTGAAATTACCATTTCATTGACTGATCTGGCCAAAAAAAAATCATTCATTTTCAGGTAAATTGATGATTTACATATATTTTTTATCTATAACATGAAATCAAACTGGCCTAGTCATTAGATAATTGTACGTACTGTCTATTTATAATGGGTTGTATGACCATCAGCAGACTTCAGAGATCATCTTGATGGATAATAAGATGGTGTCAAGTTTAACATGTCTAAAATATGCAGGAAATGCTGATGTATTATAACTAGTCCATGCAGTGTTAATTATTTCTTTTGGACTTTTTTATTTGGATATACATTTTAGTATGTTATAAATCAAATATGAGAATTTAGGTCAAATCAATGAACATGAATATTATGCCCCTTTAAAAAATATTATAAACATATTTTGAAGAACAAAAACAGTTGTTTAAATCTATAAATCTTTAAAAATAAGTATTTAGTGAAAAATTGATCAATTAACGATTAAAAAATTATTTATTTCTTCAAATTAGTTTCAGAATTTCTATTAAATAATTTCAGATTAATATATAGCTTTATGCAATTTCAGTATAAGAATCTATGTTTTTGTCAAGTTTTTTTTATAATTCTTTATTTTGTATTTCTTCATCTCATACAATAATTATATGCATTTTTTCTATCAAAGAAGAATACAATACATGTTTATTTGTTTTGACCTGCCAGTGTCAGCGCTTATATTATCCCCCTCCCCATACAAAAAAAAAAAAAAACTAAAAAAAAAAAAACAAAAAAAATCATTAACTTATATTCATATATGATTTATATATGATTAAAATGATATTTAAAGATTATTATTATTATTGATGCAACAATAGTTATTCTATTCGTACATGTACTCGTAAAGAAAATTATATATATAATGACATACATTTGTATTTTGTTGTTATTTTTTCTTCCCGACAATATCTGGAAATGTTTTTGTCAAGTTATTGATGGTTAGATTGTCCATAATTTTTGTTAAAAATAAATGTATACCATTGAACTGAATTTGGTTTTACAACCAGTTATCTTGTTTGTATTTTATGTAATATATTAAATATATGTTTAACCAGGAGAATCATTTTTGTTCTCTTCCTGTAATCTGTAAAGAAACAAAACAGACACAATGAAGTCAAATTGAGATGGCAAGTCTCTGAAACATTATACATTGTTATATCTATTTTATCAACATTTCTATTCTGTTTTCCAGGAATGGTAAAAAAATGTGGATTGTTAAAGATTGTCCATGATAAGAATAAATCTAAAACTGAATCACCTGTTCTCATAGAGCCCTATCTTAATGCTTTAGATCACAACAAAGAAATTGAGGCACTGATTCCGAAAAATTTGGTAAGTTTATATAATAAACACCGTAATTATTTTAATATATCTATATATGCAATAAGTATTTGTCACTTACAATGGTTTGCTATATATTTCATATAAAATATGTTTTTATGCCCCACCTAGGGGCATTATGTTTTTCGGTCTGTGGGTCCGTTCATTCATCTGTCCCTCTTCAAGTTAAAGTTTTTGGTCAAGGTAGTTTTTGATGAAGTTGAAGTCCAACCAACTTGAAACTTAGTACACATGTTCCCTATGATATGATCTTTCTAATTTTATGGCCAAATTAAAGTTTTGACCCCAATTTCACGGTCCACTGAACATAGAAAATGATAGTGCGAGTGGGCCATAAGTGTACTATGGAAAAATTCTTGTTTTTTTTTTTTAAATAGTGAAAGGTAATTTCATGTTGGATTTAATGAACTTGGTACCAATAGAAGCAGAACTGTCACAGGAATATTTGGTTACATTTTTGTTAGATGTTATTATTTTCTGATGATAAAAACACAAGTTTTATTTTTTGTCCGGAAATTTGCTACATATTACAACCAAATTAAATTGTAAAAATTATTTTACATATTCACATCAGGAGAAAACAAAACCCATACCGCATAATAAGCTGTAAAATGCCCCTAAATGACAAATGTAAAAAAATTTAAAGTTGAAAATTAACGTCTGATTTATGTACAAAACAATAAAAGAAAAACAAATATGATATACAGCAACAAACATCAACCACAGAATTGGGACAGACACATACAGAATGTGGCGGGGTTAAACATGTTTGCAGGCACCAAACCTTCCCTTAACCTTGGACAGTGGTGTAACAGTATAACATGATAACAAACTATGGAAATCAGTTGAAAAGGGCTTAACTATTCAGGGATATACAAAGCAAAAAACTCTTAACAAAAACACAAGAGTGCAGATTTGAAAGTACCCACAGTTACTGAAAACTAGTTCAAAGCCAATAACAAGTAATAGAAAAATCTTGTATCTAAGACAAAACGTTAACTGAGAATGTTTGCCTATAACATGTATGAAATGTATAACATGGTAATTTTTCTTTAACACTCTATATAAAAATAAGGAGATGTAGTATGATTGCCGATGAGACAATTATCCACCAAAGTTTAAATGAAGTGGATGTAAGCAATTATAGGCAACCGGACGCCCTTCAACAATGAGAAAAATCCATACCGTATAGTCTGCTATAAAAAGCCCTGACATGAAATATATGAAACAATTCAGTTGAGAAAACTAACTGCCTAATTTATAACAAAACAATTTATGAAAACAAATATGACAGACATGAACCATTTGGCAAATCTGTGAAAAACAATAGTTTTAGGTATGCTTTAGATGTGTTGTTTTTTTACTTCAATTACCTGAAACTGATCGCTTTTAGTTATGATTAATAGATGTGAATGATACATTAATGAGACAGCAACCCAACAAGACAAAAATCCAAAAGACATCTAAAGTCTTCAACAATAGACCGGTACAATAGGTCAATCTCTAATTGCTCTAAGTCTTGGAAAGAAGTGAAAACATTTAATAGAGACTAAAAATTATCCACTATCAACACTCGATTAAAAACAGTCAGATATGACAAAAAAGAACCTCTTAAGAGGTACCTGACTTTGGACAGGTATATGAACATATGGCATCAAACTAGTTTTATTTCACCATTAAGTATATCTTTCCTTGATGGTTACAAGAAGAATTGTAAGGACTTTTTCTCTATCAGTTTATATGGTAAAATGTTTTTTTTGGATATGATTTCTTAAAAAAAAAACATTGTTGTAATCCTAATAGATAAATTTTAGGGGGGTATATAGGAGGTATAGGATTCACCCTATCTCTCTGTCTATCTGTCAAAGTGCTTTGTAGGTGCAACTTCTAAGAACTGGTTAGACATGCTACACAGTCAAGACTTAGGTCTACAAAAATAGTAAGATAACTTTTTAATGCCAATGAAACAACAGTTCTATACATAAAAACTAAGCAATAAATTACTGGTAACTATATGGCCTTCAGAGATATATTTGTGTTGAATTGTCTTGCCTGTTTTTCTTTATTTTCAGGAAGTTTTAAATCCTCTTGATGTTTTACATTTGCTTCAAAGAATCCCTGATGAGGTTGGTTAACTTGATTTAATGTTAGTAGCTTAGCTATCAAATATTTAGGATTTGACGTATAAACATACTTTGCGGTAAAAAATTCAAGCATTAAACAAATTTGTTCCACATACTGTGATAAAGTAATTTGTCATACCACTAATTCAAAAAATTTTCAATTTTCACATACATGTATGTCTAAATATTTAATCTAAGTTTTATTTCATGTGAATCATTTATATCATTAATTGTTCATATACATTGTATCACCTTTCTATATGCCCATATTCAACCAATGTTTAAAATCTTTTAGTGACAGATGATGTTCTGGAAGTCACCTACTACTAAAATTGGAACTTTAATTTATTGACAAAATTTTAAAAGTACATGTATTCTATGAAGCTCTTCTACCATAGAATTGTAAGGCAACTACACCAACAAGTAGATTTGGCTCAAAACGATCCAAATATATTTCTATTTCAGCAAAACTCTCATTTATGCAAATTCATTGGTTAGTTATAGTAAACAACATCATCAAAAGCACTTTGTTTTGTTAGAGGAGGGATTCTTTTACATATGTTCTTGATGTTGCTAATTGGTTGAATTGGGTATGTGACATCTTAAGAAGTCACTGATCATTCAAATATCTGATCAAAGTAGAGATTTGATATGTATAGTATGCAAGTTTTACATATGTATTCACATAATTTCATAAATGTTAAATAATTATTATTTTTTATACGACCGCAAACAAATTTTTGTGGTCGTCCGGCGTCGTCCAGCATCCGAAGACACATTGGTTTTCGCACTCTAACTTTAGTTTAAGTGAATGGATCTCTATGAAATTTTACCACAAAGTTCAATACCACAAAACGAAGGTTGGGATTGATTTTGGGGGTTATGGTACCAACAGTAAAGGAATTAGGGGCCAAAAATAAGCATTTTTGTAACTTCCAGACATAACTTGTGTGTTAGTGTATGGATCTCTCTGACATTGTACCACAAGGTTCCATATCACAAAAGGAATGCTGGGATTGATTTTGGGGGTAATTGCCTCAAAATTTTAGGAATTAGGGGCCAAAAAAGGGGCAAAAAACAAGCATTTTTCTAGTTTCATGATAATAACTTGTGTGTAAGTGTATGGATCTTTCTGAAATTGTACTACAAGGTTCCATATCACAAAGGGAAAGCTGGAATTGAGTTTGGGGGTAATTACCGAAACATTTAGGGATTGGGGGCCAAAAAGGGGCCAAAAATAAGCATTTTTCTAGTTTCCAGACAATAACTTGTGTTCAAGTGTATGGATCTCTCTGAAATTGTACTGCAAGGTACCATACCACAAAGGGAAGGCTGGGTTTGATGATTGGGGTAATTGCCTCAATATTTTAGGAATTTGGGGCCAAAAAGGGGCCAAAAAACACATTTTTCTAGTTTCCAGACAATAACTTGTGTTCAAGTGTATGGATCTCTCTGAAATTGTACTGCAAGGTACCATACCACAAAGGGAAGGCTGGGATTGAGGTTGGGGGTGTTGAATCATAAGGGGGTTCAAAAAATTTGGGGGGGGGGGGGGATTTTTTTTTTTTCCTTATTTTTCTTTTTTGCCTTTTTTTTATACGCCCGTTTACGGGACGTATTATGGTATACCGTTGTCCGTCTGTCCGTCTGTCCGTCTGTCCGTCCGTCCGTCTGTCCGTCTGTCCGTCCGTCGTCAACATGTCGGACATTAACTCAAAAACGCTTTAATCAATTTGCATAAAACTTTGGTGAATTGTTTATATCTATTGACGTGAGCTCCCTTTCGTTTTTTATAAATTTTAGATTTTACGTTTCCGAGTAATGGGGTTTTATTCATTAAAAAAAGGGGGATTTTCCAGCTTTCGGACAATAACTCAAGAATGCTTTCACCAACTTGCAAGAAATTTTGGTTAATTGTTTATATCTGTTGACATGAGCTCCCTTTTGATTTTTATAAATTTTAGATTTTACGTTTCCAAGTTACGGGGTTTTATTCATAAAAAAGGGGGGATTTTCCAGTTTTCGGACAATAACTCAAAAATGCTTTCAGCAGTTCTCATGAAACTTTGATGAATTGTTGATATCTATTGATGTAAGCTCCATTTAGAATTTTATAAATTTTAGATTTTACAGTTCCGAGTTATGGGGTTTTTATTCATTAAAAAAGGAGGGATTTTCCAGTTTTCAGACAATAACTCAAAAATGCTTTCAGCAATTCTTATGAAACTTTGGTGAATTGATTATATCTATTGATGTAAGCTCCCTTTAGAATTTTATAAATTTTATTTGTTTATAGTCTGACAACAGATTTACTAAGTATTGCGCAACAGCATAGTGTATTGCACAACAGCAAGAAATCTCTTAATTGAATATAAATTCAATTTATATAACCAATTTCAAGTTCTTTGACTACATTTATTCAGAAACCTATAATATGTCTAATATTTAATTACAATCCAAATTCAGACCTGTATCAAGCTTGAATATTGTGTCCATTTTTGCCCCAACTGTTCAGGGTTCGACCTCTGCGGGCGTATCCAGCTGCGCTCAGCAAAGCAGTTTATTTTCTTTTAAAATTTTCCATTTTAAGTTGGTTATTTCTGATTTATATTTAAAAGCAAATAATAATGATATGGTAGGAGATACACACCAAACAGGATGTGTAAATTATTATATAATAAGTATTGTGCAATAGCAAGAAATTTTCAATTGCACAGTATTGCACAATAGCAAGAAATCTTCAATTGCACAGTATTGCGCAATAGCAAGAAATCTTCAATTGCACAGTATTGCGCAATAGCAAGAAATATACAATAGCAAAATATTGCGCAATAGCAAGAAATTGTCAATTGTACAGTATTGCGCAATAGCAAGAAATATTTAATTGCACAGTATTGTGCAAAAGAAGATACTTCGTATAAATTGCTTATTTCTTGACCAATTTCAATGGGGTTTTATTCTTGAATTCTCGGGGTTCTTTAATATGCTGAATCTAACCGTGTATTTAGTTTTTGGTTTTTAGGCCCCGTTTTTAAATTGGTCCACATTGAGGTCCAAAGGGTCCAAAATTAAACTTTGTTTGATATCATCAAAAAATGAATTATTGGGGTTCCTTGATATGCCGAATCTAACCGTGTATTTAGATTCTTAATTTTTGGTTCCGTTTTCAAATTGGTCTACATTAAGGTCCAAAGGGTCCAAAATTAAACTTAGTTTGATTTTAACAAAAATTGAATTCTTAGGGTTCTTTGATATGCTGAATCTAAACATGTACCGGTATTTAGATTTTTGATTATGGGCCCAGTTTTCAAGTTGGTCCAAATCGGGGTCCAAAATTAAACTTTGTTTGATTTGAACAAAAATTGAATATATGGGGTTCTTTGATATGCTGAATCTAACCATGTATTTAGATTTTTGATTTTTGGGCCCCGTTATCAACTTTGTCCACATTGAGGTCAAAAGGGTCCAAAATTAAACTTTGTTTGATTTCATCAAAAATTGAATTCTTGGGGTTCTTTGATATGCTGAATCTAACCATGTATTTAGATTTTGGATATGGGACCATAATAGGTGAATGTCCAATTTAAAATTTTTAAGTTCTTAGACCACATTCATTCTGTGTCAGAAACCTATGCTGTGTCAAATATTTAATCACAATCCAAATGCAAAGCTCTATCAAGCTTGAATGTTGTGTCCATACTTGCCCCAACTGTTCAGGGTTCGACCTCTGCGGTCGTATCAAGCTGTGCCCTGCGGAGCATTTTATTAGTTTCTGAAAAAGCATTACAGTTAAGGGCAAACGATACAGAAAAGATCCCTCTTTGATTTTTCTTTAAGATTTTGACACAAAGTCAATTTTGATTTTGCATGAAGAGGACATGAGCTACATTTAACTTCCACACATTATGCTCATTACAGAACTCAACAGATTTACAGAATATCTTTTCCAAATGTGGATATTTCCTTCCAATTTTGATATGCACTATCGAAAGATGCAAGGAAAAATATACCACCATGACTTACTTTTCGAAATATTTCAGATTGAAATTTGCATGTTTCATGTAAAAACACAAAATTTCATTTTCAATACTTTTTTTGCAAAGGGTTCCTGACATGTAATATACTGTCCTTTAAGGCAGTTCCTAAAATTGAGGTTTAATGCATTAACATTTTTGTACAATCATTCAGTTATCGGTAACAAAAAGTCTGTTAACAATTTTTTTTTTGTATAAGTTGATCCTTTATTACAGTTTAAAAGTATAAAGTGATTTCTCTAATTCTTCGTCAATTTATCCCTTTCTGCACCCATTGTATAAAAAAATTTAATAAACGTGTGGTTCTTTTGATCTCAGTTCTTCATTGGTTAAAATCCGATTATGACGTCGAATTTACTTGCTTTCCTCTGAATTTCCTATTGTGACGGCATGAAAAAAGACGACCATGCCTGATGACGTCACATAGAAAGAACACATCTTTTTACAGAACATTCGAAAAGACGGAATAAGTTTGCCTGCATATTGTTTGAAAATCATTAGAGAAACAGATTCCACCACCAAATCTCGTGTAATACGATATTTATCCACTCTCGACAGTTAAATTTTAAATATTTAACGGTCTCGAGTGGATAAATATCATATCACACTCGATGCAGTGGTAGAATCTATATATAACTAATTCTTAGCTGAAATATCCTTTTCCTGATTTTTATTTAATCAACATGTGTGATTATTTTTATTTAATCAACATGTGGTTCGTTTGATCTCAGTTCTTCATTGGTCAAAATTCAATTATGAAATCCAATTTTCTTGCTTTCCTCTGATGTCACGAAAAAAGGCGACCATGCTTGATGTCGTTTTATAGAAAGAACACATCTTTTTACAGATCATTGGAAAAGAAAAATTAATTTTGTCTGCATATGGTTTTAAAATCATTAGAGAAGAAACTGATTCCACCACCAAATTTCTTGCAATACGATATTTCTCAACTCGCGACAGTTAAATTTTAAATATTTAAACTGCTTGACGAGCCTTGCGTTTTAAATATGAAAATTGAACTGTCTCGTGTCATATCACACTTAATGCAGTGGTAGGATATCTCTCTCTCTCTCTCTCTCTCTCTCTCTATATATATATATATATATATTATCTAATTATTTATATATAACTATTTTTGACACTAGTTTTAATTTAACTGTTGCTATTCAAATTAGTTCATTGTTTATCTTAGGAAGTTCCACTGATTTTGATGAATAATGAAGTTGGAAAACCATCAGATTTAATACAGACCAGAATTTTAGTCCCACCAATTTGTATACGTCCCTCTGTAGTGTCAGATTTAAAATCTGGAACGTAAGTATTGGTTTTAGAAATCCATAGGATTTAACACCTAGACTAGAATATATGTTTAACCAGGCTATTATTGACCACCTATTTTGTTATTTTATATCCCAATGCCTTTGTTAACCATAATTGGTTTGTAGTAATACAGAACAGGAGTTTAATGTAATGTAACTTTGTACTTCCTTAAGTCATTAACAAGAGTTCAGAATTTTTTAATGTAGTTTTGGTCATTTTTCAAAGCTTGTCAATTTGGAGGTCAGGAAAGACAGTTCCAGTACTGATTCTGCATTGTACACATCATTTTTTGTGAGGCAATATCTTGCTATTTTTAAGGTGTCAAAAATTAGTGCTTTTCTGAGAAGACAAGTTTCTTCTTGATGAAAAAATATCAAAGCAGATTCATACATTAATAATCAAATTTGTATCTATTTCATTCTCAAATACAGTTTTTGGTCAATAGACCTTCACTGAAAAATATTGTATTTTTTTCTGTTTTTTTTAATCATTAGAAGTTAACAGATATAAATTATGTATACTGTAATTATATATTTTGTCCAATAATTAACTTTTGTATGTATTTATTTGTATATGTCCCACTGTGCTTCTTTCAAAGATGAATTTTATGCATATTATTATTTATATACATGATATAGGTAAATAAACACAACATGGCAAACAAATGGTTAAGTTATGTATCCAAAGTAAATAAATTCAAACAATAATTCTTGAAAAAGAAATGATTTACAATATTTTTACTTGAAAATTGGCAAATCTAGAAGGAAATTTTTAAAAGGATCTTGACTGATTGAAAGGCAGATGTTGAAAACAGGTTTAACTGGCAGGTAAAAAGCCTGGAAAAGATTACATGTCTAATGAACCCTCCTGCAATACGAAATTTAGTAAAAAGCACATGTGTATATCAGGATACTCCAAAAATGTGAGTCTTGATGTCAGACAGGTTTTCAAATGTTAATTTGCTCATTCTATTCATGTCACGGTGTTGATTTAATAGCAAGATAACAAAATGAACAATCTTTGTAATTCTGGTCATAATTTTTTTATTGTCTATGAAAACATAAATTTTTGTGCAAAGATTTTAAAACCCTTTTGTCTAAACACATATATTTGATGTCACCATATATTTGCAAGCTGCAGTTTCAAAATGTTTAAAGAATTTTAAGTTTGTGCATTTTTAAAATTTAGTTATTATATTTCAGTGTTTGTGTTACAATTTTTGTTTTAAATATCCAAATATCATCCCTTTGAAGGGGGATGGGGGATGGGCAGACATTTTTTTTTTTAAAGTGTGAATATAAGTATTGATAGGAGTCCTGTTTGTATAAATAAAAAAATAAGAAGATGTGGTATGATTGACAATAAGACAACTCTCCACAAGAGACCAATGACACAGAAATTAACAACTGTAGGTCACCATACGGCCTTCTACAATGAGCAAAGCCCATACCTCATAGTCAGCTATAAAAGGCCCAGAAATGACAATAAGTATGAATAATAAGTGTATAAACTACTGTTTTGTAAAAATAAATATAACAAGGCAAAATTTTCAGCTCTAATATTTTCACTATATTTTCTTTATGTGATATATATATGAATACGAACATGAAAGCTTTATTTAGATTTGGTATAGTTATAAACTTGAAAACATAAGCTCTATAGAGCTTTTTACCGAATACATACAAACATACAACAACAAAAAAAACAATTATGCAAGCAAACTAAAAATCAAGAAGCACACATAATAGTAAGACAGCACAAGCATGGCAAAGTAAATTGTACATGCTAGCATAACTTTAAAAGAGCAAAGTAATGTAAAACAAGCACAGTGAAATGAAATAAAATCTTATCTACAAGCAGAACAGCGACATTTTAAGCCATTCCAGGACTTTATAAGACTCTTGAAATGAGAAAAAAAAATATGATTTTTTTCTAAAAAAATTATTTAACTCATACTTTTATTTAGAAATGAAGATGACATCACAATGAAACTGACAGAGATTTTATTCCTAAATGATGTGATACAGAAACATAAAGCAACTGGTGCTAAAATGTCCATGATAATGGTAATATATATTAAGGAATACAGTATAAGTAGTCCTTACTTATAGATACCATGAGTGTTTGTATTGCCTTAGTCTTATGGCAAGTTATTGAAAAGTTACAGAAAATAGTTTTCATGGGTGAACTGATGCAAAATGAAAGGCTATCATTATGCAATGGCATACACATATACAATGAAAGGCTATCATTATGCAATGGCATACATATATACAATGAAAGGCTATCATTATGCAATGGCATACACATATACAATGAAAGGCTATCATTATGCAATGTCATACACATATACAATGAAAGGCTATCATTATGCAATGGCATACACATATACAATGAAAAGCTATCATTATGCAATGGCATACACATATACAATGAAAGGCTATCATTATGCAATGGCATACACATATACAACGAAAGGCTATCATTATGCAATGGCATACACATATACAATGAAAGGCTATCATTATGCAATGGCATACACATATACAATGAAAGGCTATCATTATGCAATGGCATACACATATACAATGAAAGGCTATCATTATGCAATGGCATACACATATACAATGAAAGGCTATCATTATGCAATGGCATACACATATACAATGAAAAACCATCAAATGGCCTCAAGGATCACTGAAAAAGACATTACTTGTTGAAATGCCCATCTGGTGCAGTTAAATTGGTATCAATAATGTTATTATATTACTGTGGATTCATTTATTTGCGTGGGTACCAATTTTTCGTGGATTGAGGAAAACTTGCATTTTCGTGGATACATGATTTCGTGGTTTTGCCAAAGTCTGCATACAATCTTATAGAAAATTTGTAATTCGTTGAACATTTAAATTCGTGGTTTACCTGTACCCACGAAATCCACGAAAATTGGTACCCAACGAAAAATAATGAATCCACAGTACACAAGAACATAAAAACAAATGAATTTTGAACTGTTTTTCAAAGAAGAGATTTGATAGAGTTTAAAGCATAACAAGGAAATTTTATATTTTAATGGTTCCAGTGGTCTTATTTGCACATTTACTTAAAAGAATTTTTTATTAACAGTTTTTCAAAGAAAGATTTGTCATTTCAAAACTTGTCCATGTATTATATATTATTGGATTTTGAGAATGTTTTTACATTGATTTGCTTTGAACTACCAACACCATGAAAACAAATTCACTGAAAAACAAATTGAAAAAAAACAAGTCAATTTACTGTAGCACTTGTACCTATTTCAGTGAGAATTTGAATCATTATACAGCTTTCTATCAATTTTCAGGAAGACTGGGATTTCTTACAGTTACAGGTAGCTCTCCTATATAACAGTGAAACCTCTGGAATTCCATTACATATGATGGTAAATATAAGTCTGACAGATCATAATATAAGTTTTTCTTTTGTCATTGTTTTTTACATTTCATACCCTTATTTAGAGTTTTGATGTTTCTTTGGTTAAATTTGTAAAATACAGACACCTTTCTGACAAAGCCTTTATTTTTATGCTTTTTAAAATTTTTGAAAAGAAATAAATGCATTTGACATTGTGTTGAAATAATTTACATTTCCTGTGTATATTATTGTAACTGTTGTACAATGGACACAAATGCAACTTTAATTATTACTTTTTCAAGAAATGTTGCATACAAAATATGCTTTCAAAATTTAAAATTTAATTTTTTTGTGACACCTATCTTGTCATAATTTTCGCAATAATAAACACATTGAAAAATTTCTGAATTTACAATATATAGAAATTATGATGCATTAAATCTTGATATTTTCTAGATACTTGATATGACATAAAACAAGCATATTAAACCTTTCTTTTACTTGCCATACGTGTTCAAGTTTTTATAAAACTAATAACTATATTGTATGATATGTTACAAACAGTTGTTTCTGTTATTATGTAACTCAAGTTAACTGGAAATCTCAAATACTTCTGATACCATGGAGAAAATTCAAATAAGTTTTAATTAATTTCTGTTTTATTAATTTTAGCCAAAAAAATCAACAAGAGGATTTGTTCAAAGGTTAAAGGGTAAACAGGGTCGTTTCCGAGGTAACCTGTCAGGAAAACGTGTAGATTACTCTGGAAGAACTGTAATCTCTCCAGACCCAAACATGAGAATTGATCAGGTATCAGTAATATGTTATAATTCTGAGATATTTAAACTTTCAAAGGTAGAATAGAAAGGTTTTTAAACTCCTTTACTTGCGGCCACAAATATACAGAGACATTTTCCATTACTGAAATGTTCATATATATTATTAAATTTCTTACTTTGTTTATTTTCATTAAAAGATTTCCCCTCTTGGGAATCCTTTCCAATCTTTATTGAAAAGATTGCCCGTTTTCCCACAGAATGTCCGTAAATTTTCTTTGGGTACACTTGTGACCTCCCCAATAAAAAAAATCTGGCAGCCATGTTATAGCTATGGTTGTTGAAAGTGGTGTTAAACTAACAAACTTACATTAAAAAATGTTGAGATGTGGTTTAGTATTTTCAAAATTTGACTCTTTGCTTAAAGATGTATTTCTTTAGTAGATAGTATAAACCCTATGACATCAGAAGTTTTCATTTTAAGGTGGCAGTTCCAGAACATGTTGCTAGGATACTGACATATCCAGAAAGAGTTACTAAATCTAACATACAGTTTCTGAGAGAACTTGTTCTAAATGGCTGTGATCACCATCCTGGTGCTAACTTTGTACAGCAGAAAGAAACACACTTGAAAAAGTAAGACTGAATAAAGTATATTTAAAATTGAATTATGATGTTGAAAAGAAATGAATAAGAAATCTGTAATTTGCAAAAATCATAATAAAGGCAGTGACTGGGTTTTTTATGCAAGGCAAGTATACAGATGTAAGATATCAAGTTAGTTTTGCGTATCCCTGTAAATAGGTTTGTTCAAATTGATTAAGGTCCATTTCTCTAAACTCAATAATCTTTTATCAGCATTTAAATATTCCACTATAAGATGTGTACTGTAGTGCTTCACAATTCAACAGCCTTTGAGTTTAAAAAACTTTTAAACATCAAGTACTATCATATTATCATCACTTTTTCTTTTTCTTTGGTGTTTGTTTTCATATATCACACTTAAAAATTTTTCATTTTAGATTTTTAAGATATGGCAACAGAGAGCGAATAGCTAAAGATTTAAAATATGGTGACATCGTTGAAAGACATCTTATTGATGGAGATGTTGTACTGTTTAACAGGCAGCCATCTTTACATAAACTTAGTATCCAGGCATTCTATGTAAGATATATTTAAGGCCTACAGAAATACTTGTATTGGTTTTGTAACGTTGAATAAAAAGAATTGTTGATTAATATTATCATAACAGAAATGCAATGAAACAAACTTCTCTCTTGTTTTGAATTTGATGGTTCTGGTTCAAACAGTTGTTGAAACAGAATCAGAATATAAAAACTTAGATAAGAGCTGTTTACTTGAATGTAACTGGCCAACATTTATTGCAGGCAAAAGTGATGCCACATAGAACTTTCAGATTTAATGAGTGTTGCTGTAATCCATTCAATGCAGATTTTGATGGAGATGAGATGAATCTTCACCTTCCACAAACAGAAGAAGCCAAGGCAGAGGCACTTATACTAATGGGGGTTAGTATGTATCCCATATATAGGTTTTGAACATTTTTGAATTCATGAACTTAAGGTGTCTTTCTACAAATAAATTTCTGTAAAAGCTGAAATTTTCATTTGGGTTTTAATATCTATAGATATTATCAAAGAAATTAGAAACCCAAAAAGTTCTAACCCCAGGAAATAAATGTTTCTACAGTTACTTTTTTTGGGGGGTGTAAATGGGCAGTTGTACATTTTGTTATAATAAAAAATTCCTATGTATAAGCAAGATTGGAAAGGCTTTTCAACAATTTATTTTAACCTGATAATTGAAAAAGCATTAAAATGTATTCATTCTAGGCCTTATTGTAATCTTTAAGATAACACATCTTTTTGAAATAATAACAAGTTTCTTGTTGTCAGATGGGAAAGCCATCTGGAAGGTCCTTTTGTCATAATGTGAAACTTTTTCATTTCTTGTTCCTTTTTGCTCTGTAGGATATCCAAGTGTCTAGAATTTCCACATTTTTATTCAGTGAAAAGGACTTACAGGTGTTCAAAGAAGTTCTGAAGACATCCTTGTCAGAGTTTCTATTCCAAGTCTTATACAAACTGTCATGAATTGATAAAATGAAGTGCAATAAGTTGGATCCAGCTGATTTGCATTATGCTGATTATACAGAGTATAGTGTTTACAGTATAAGCTATTATTATGGATGGATTTTACCTTATCAATCATTGCCTTTTTGGCTGTAGTATTAAAATATAAGGAAAAAAGGATTCACTATATACAGTAACATTTGTGTTTGCTTAGACTTTGAAAATAGTTATAATTTAATTTCAATCAGTTGTTTACAACCTACAAACAATCACCTATCATTTCTTAAATAGAACAGCCTTAAATTTTAAGTCTCCTATTTAAGCTAAACTTGTGTATTTTTTAAATAGCTTTACCACTTGGCCAGCATGGCCGAGGAGGTCTCTTAGTGTAGCATTGCTCTCATTTTTTTATATGTCCGTTTACGGGACGTTTTATGGTATACCGTTGTCTGTCCATCCGTCCGTCCGTCTGTCCGTCCGTCGTCAACATGTCGGACAATAACTTAAAAACGCTTTAACCAATCTGCATGAAACTTTGATGAATTGTTTATATCTATTGACATGAGCTCCCTTTCGTTTTTTATAAATTTTAGATTTAAAGTTTCCGAGTTATGGGGTTTTATTCATTAAAAAAGGGGAATTTTCCAGTTTTCGGATAATTACTCAAAAACACTTTCACCAGTTTGCAAGAAACTTTGGTGAATTGTTTATATCTATTGACATGAGCTCCCTATCGATTTTTATTAATTTTAGATTTTATGTTTCTGAGTTATGGGGTTTTATTCATTCAAAAAAGGGGATTTTCCAGTTTTCGGACAACAACTCAAAAATGCTTTCAGCAGTTTTCATGAAAGTTTGGTGAATTGTTTATATCTATTGACATAAGCTCCCTTTCGATTTTTATAAATTTTAGATTTTACGTTTCCGAGTTATGGGATTTTATTCATAAAAAGGTGGAGATTTTCCAGTTTTCGGACAATATCTTTAAAGTGCTTTGAGCAGTTTTCATGAAACTTTGTTGACTGGTTTATATCTATTAAGCTAACCTCCCTTTAGTTTTTCATAAATTTCTGAAATGACATTGAGAAGTTAATGAACTTTATTCTTTAAAAAAGCGACAGGTGTATCATGCGCTCATGGCTCAGCTGTTCATTTGTATAGGTTAACCTAAAAAAAAATATATGTGTTTGTTGACAGTACATAGTAGGTAAAGTGTCTATTTGAGATATGTTTTATAGATGTTATATTTATGTCAAATTTCTTCATGACAGCTGTTCATTATCATGCTACTGATGTTGGTAGAAAGAGACTTTGGTTGGCTTGCTTGCTTTTTTATACACCCGTCAAAATTTTGACGGGACGTATTATGGTATACAAATGTCGTCTGTCCGTCTATCCGTCTGTCCGGCGTAAACATGTCGCACCTTAACTTGAGAACGACTTATCCAAATTTCATGAAACTTAACATAGTTGTTTCTTATGATGGTCAAACGATCTGTATACTTTTTGGTGAAAATAAGATTAAAACTTTTTGAGTTACGGGACTTAGTAACTAAAACAGGTGTGTGTTTTTTTTCACATGTCACGCCATATCTCAAAAACAATTTATAATTATTGCTTAAAACTTTACATACTTCTTAGTTATATTAATCTTAAGATCTGTATACTTTTTGGTGATGATTCAAAATTTTATTTTAGAGATATTGAGTATTTTGTTAAAAAAGGGGGAGGGGTTTTTCACATGTCGCGCCGTATCTCAAAAACAGTTTGTTATTATTGCTTAAAACTTTACACACTTCTTAGTTATATTAATCTTAAGATCTGTATACTTTTTGGTGATGATTCAAAATTTTATTTTTGAGTTATTGAGTATTATGTAAAAAAAAGGGGGCAGGGTTTTTCACATGTCGCGCCGTATCTCAAAAACGATTTATGATTATTGCTTAAAATTTACACACTTCTTAGTTATATTAATCTAAAGATCTGTATACTTTTTGGTTTTGATTCAAAATTTTATTTTTGAGATATTGATTTTTTTTTTTTTTAAAAGTGGGATTTTCACATGTCGCGCCGTATCTCAAAAACGATTTATGATTATTGCTTAAAATTTTAGTCACTTCTTAGTTATATTAATCTAAAGATCTGTATACTTTTTGGTTTTGATTCAAAATTTTATTTTAGAGATATTGAGTTTTTTGTAAAAAAAAAAGGGGGTTTTGACATGTCAGGCCGTATGTCAGAAACTATTTATGATTATTGCATAAAAATTCACACACAAGACGAAGGGCGTATCATGCACTCATGGCGCAGCTGTTTATTTGTATAAATGTTAGCTCAAGCATTGTAATTAAGATTGACATCTGCAAACAATATAAATAGGCGGAGTTAAACCTGTATATATTATATTTTGATTCCTAACCTCCAGGATAACATCCAATTAAATTTAAGCATAATGTATATAGGTTTAACTCCACCTATTAATATTGTCCGTACGTCCCAAAATTCCTTTCCGTTTTCTAACTTAAGTTTGCCTCAACCAAATGTTATGAAACTTATACACAATGCTTATTACCACAAAACACAGATCAAGTTTGAATTTTGGTGGCGTCACTTTAACCGTTCTAGAGTTATGCCCCTTTACAAATGGAAAAATTGCTAATTTTTTATTTCTTCATGCTTGAAGATATTGATTTGATATTTGGTATATTGATTTATCATAACAAGTTACAGATCAAGTTCGAATTTTGTTCCCGTCTGATAATTTTGTGCAGAGTTATAGTCCTTGGACTTAAAAAATTCCCTCAAATACTCAGTTTTCCGCACTTTTTTTAGTCATTCTTGAAGATATTGATTTACTAATTGATACATTGTTTTATCATGACAAGTTACAGACCAAGTTTGAATTTCATTTCTGTTTGATGATTTTTTGGAGAGTTATGGTCCTTGGACTTAGAAAATTCACTTAAATTATCAGTTTTCCGCACTTTTTTTCGTCATGCTTGAAAATATTGACCTGATATTTGTTGTATAGTTTACACCATGACCAGTTATAGATCAAGTTAGCATTTTGTTCCAGTTCAATTAATTTTTAACCGGTAGGGGACTATGTATTGCCATGCAATACTCTCAGAATGCTTGTTTTAAGCTTATTTTGCTTTTTACATTTCTAGTCAAAGTCAAATATAATTACACCCAGAAATGGTGAACCTTTGATAGCTGCTATACAGGATTTCATCACAGGTAAAGATAAGCATTTAAGGAGAAGGTATTAATTGTTTAAACTGTATACATGCTGGAATAAAACATAACCATTTTCATGATTTTCTTATAAAGCATTCCCCTACCCTTTAACATTCAATACACCTCAGAAATGACATTAATTCAGGGAAATGGCAAAATTACTCACAATATTGACTTTTCACTCATTCATGCTAAAAAAATTACACAGCACAACACTTCTCCCCAAAATATTAGCACATTAAGTGTATCATATGATATGAGGCAGAGGCTACCTGATGAGTTCCTGAAGGTTCATTTTTGTAATTGGATTTACATATGGATACAATTTGCAGGGAAATCCATGCTCCTTTAAACTGTTTAAAAGAATGAAAAACTGGAAAGGATTTGATTGATCGACATGTTGTTGAAGGTATTTCATTTTGTTAATGGTATGATCCAAATTGTCCCTTCAACCAATTTGCTCCCTTTTGGAGTAAATTAATTTATTCTTGTAAAAAGATTCTTTGAATGTCACATGTAATCTAATGTTAATTAATTTCAAATATTTCTGAAATTACCTTTTTTGGGAGTCTAAAACCTCTTAGTGTCTTCCATAAGACATTAATGTTTTCATAGTATAATTGTATAATTGAACTACATGTATATATTATTTAACTATTTTTTATTGATTATAAATAGTATCAATTTTTTAGGAGCCTATTTATTGACACAGAAAGATGTGTTTTTTGATCGAGCCAAGGCATGCCAGCTGATATCGTCCATGTTAACTGGTATTGATAGTACTGTCAGAATAGATCTTCCTCCTCCTGCAGTTTTTAAGGTAAAAAAATATAGAAGTTGAGATTTTAACTTTTTATCAGGAGGCTATATATATCTAGAGAACAGAGTTTCATACCATTATTGGTCCTGTTGATGTATTATACATCTGTAACACTTTCTCAATATAAAAATAGTTTCATCTTTTGCCTAATTTTTTGACAGCTTCTTTTCATGAGCAAAATGAATATCAGCAATGTTCCCAATGTCTGACCCAAAGGTTTTTGGCATGATGGTTCTTTGTCTCAACATAGATACATTCTTGGATGTTCACAGTGTATTCTTTTGAATATTTTTATGCAGAAGTGTGTTTATACTTTTATTCAACATCTGGTGAGGTCATATAATAATTAATGCAATTAATTACAGTCAAACCTCAATAAGTTGAAGTCAAAGGGACTGGCTAAAACTGTTAAGACTTATCAGACTTCGAGTCATGCGAGGTCGCAAGCTGCATCTGACATTTCCCATTTCAATATTGCAACTCATATTGTCAACCTGGTATGTTTAGGCAAAAGACGTATATTACTTTCATTTCAATCAGCGTCAATACTGCAAGTATTAAAAAATATATTTCAAATAAAAATGAGATGGAAATGAGTACACACTGTGTAAGTTCATAATAAATATGTATATAGGTATATTTTTTGTACATATTTATAATTTTGCATTGTATGTTTTTTATATTGTCAATGAATTCTATTTTAAAACTTCAAACCACCACATTATATCAAACTAAGTGGGATTGATATGTAGAAGTGAGAAAGAGAAAACAGAGTATCTGAAGATATCAGAATTAAGAAGTTGACTAAATTCATTTTGTTAAAGTAGTGGGCTTAAAATATTCAGCACTTACCTACATGTTAAATCAGTACTTATACTCTTTAGATTTGCTTTGGCTTTTACATTTTTGTTGAGCCTGCGACTTTTGTTGCAAAAGCGAGACATAGTGATTCTACATTCCATTGTCGTCGGCGGCGGCGGCGGCGTCCTGTTTATCTGTATTTTACTTATAAATGAACTTAGTTTTTGTCGAGCCTGCGACTTTTGTCGCAGAAAGCTCGACATAGGGATAGCGATCCGGCGGCGGCGGCGGCGGCGGCTACGGCGGCGGCGGCGGCGTTAGCTAACTTCTTAAAAGCTTTATATTTTAGAAGATGGAAGACCTGGATGCTTCATACTTTGTATATGGATGCCTCATGTTACGAAGTTTCCGTCAGTCACATGTCCAATGTGCTTGACCTCATTTTCATGGTTCAGTGACTACTTGAAAAAAAAGTTCAGATTTTTTGTAATGTTAAATTCTCTCTTATTATAAGTAATAGGATAACTATATTTGGTATGTGCGTACCTTGCAAGGTCCTCATGCCCGTCAGACAGTTTTCACTTGACCTCGACCTCATTTCATGGATCAGTGAACAAGGTTAAGTTTTCGTGGTCAAGTCCATATCTCAGATACTATAAGCAATAGGTCTAGTATATTCGGTGTATGGAAGGACTGTAAGGTGTACATGTCCAACTGGCAGGTGTCATCTGACCTTGACCTCATTTTCATGGTTCAGTGGTTATAGTTAAGTTTTTGTGTTTTGGTCTGTTTTTCTTATACTGTATGCAATAGGTCTACTATATTTGGTGTATGGAATGATTGTAAGGTGTACATGTCTAGCTGGCAGGTGTCATCTGACCTTGAACTCATTTTCATGGTTCAGTGGTCAAAGTTAAGTTTTTGAGTTTTGGTCTTTTTTTCTAATACTGCATGCAATAGGTCAGCTATATTTGGTGTATGGAATGATTGTAAGGTGTACATGTCTAGCTGGCAGGTGTCATCTTACCTTGACCTCATTTTCATGGTTCAGTGGTCAAAGTTAAGTTTTTGAGTTTTGGTCTTTTTTTCTAATACTATATGCAATAGTTCAACTATATTTGGTGTATGGAAATATTTTATGATCTATATGTCAGTCACGCAGGTTTTATTTGACCTTGACCTCATTTTCAAGGTTCATTGCTCAGTGTTAATTTTTTGTGTTTTCGTCTGTTTTTCTTAAACTATAAGCAATAGGTCAACTATATTTGTTGTATGGAAGAATTGTTAGCTGTACATGCCTGCCTAGCATGGTTCATCTGACCTTGACCTCATTTTCATGGTTCATTGGTCAATGTTTAGTTTACTTGGTTAATGTTAAGTTTATGTGACAGTTGTAATAAAGCTTTATATTTAGGACTATCAACATAATATCAATGATTAGTAAAGAAGGCGAGACATTTCAGCGTGTGCACTCTTGTTCTTCCAGTTAACATTACATTCACTCTGTGGTTAAAGTTTTTGAAATTTAAATAACTTTCTTAAACTATCCTGGATTTCTACCAAACTTGGTCAGAAGCTTGTTTATGATCATAAGATAGTATCCAGAAGTAAATTTTGTAAAAAAAAAATCCTATTTATCTTATTTTACTTATAAATGAACTTAGTTTTTCTTCCAGTTAACATTACATTCACTCTGTGGTTAAAGTTTTTGAAATTTAAATACTTTTCTTAAACTATCCTGGATTTCTACCAAACTTGAACAGAAGCTTGTTTATGATCATTAGATAGTATCCAGAAGTAAATTTTGTAAAAAAAAAAAATCTGTTTATCCGTATTTACTTATAAATGGACTTAGTTTTTCTGCCAGTTAACATTACATTCACTCTGGTTAAAGTTTTAAAAATTTTAATAACTTTCTTAAACTATCCTGGATTTGTACCAAACTTGGACAGAAGCTTGTTTATGATCAAAAGCTAGTATCTAGAAGGAGATTTTGTAAAAATTTATTTCCTGTTTTTACGTATATTACTTATAAATGGACTTAGTTTTTCTTCCAGTTAACATTACATACAGTCTGTTGTTAAAGTTTTTAAAATTTTAATAACTTTCTTAAACTATCCTGGATTTGTACCAAACTTGGACAGAAGCTTGTTTATGATCTAAAGATAGTTTCCAGAAGAAAATTTTGTAAAATCACACTGAAAACATAGACAACAGCAAAAGAAGGCGAGACACTGGGTTCCGCGGAACCCCTTACAAATTTTTATCTGTATGTATTTCCAGGACTTAAGTGCTTGGGCATATTAAACGAATTTATCCTGCTCGAAACCAAACTTCCATCTCCTCCTTGGTGAGCAAGGGACTTAGACTAACTTGAATTGTACAAAGATTAATAAATAAGTACAGTTTACCTGTGTTTAATTATGTTTACCTGAAAAATAAATGCACGCAAATGTAATGAAAAGCAATGTGCAAATGTAATGGTGATGCACGAAAACGTAATGCACCAAAATGGATATACCCAGAATTAATTTAGGAAACTTGTCTTGGTGCGCAATAAAATTATATAATTTCAATATTTGAATAAGTAATTCAAACGTTAGATGTTTAATTTCCATTGATTTTTTATTTCACTCTGAACTTCGGCACATCAGGGTTGAGTAATGTTCACTTTTTTTAGAGGGACTTTGAAATATACTAGAGTTAAGCGAGATTTAAAAACTACAAAGTTTGACTCATCAGAGGTAGAAATGCATGGAACAAACAGGAATTTTACTGAAACTGACAAAATACCTAGACTTATTCAAGTTTTTGACACAATGAGGTTAGACTGTATCTAAAAGGACATTATATTTTATTAGGTATTAGATTCTTACAAGGGATGACAGGGAATATGAGCCCATATCCTATGTGAAACCTGAATAACAATTATATTGCACTGGAGTGTCTTGATTATTAATTCACTATGAATTGCCATTCTGATTTTCATTTTGGTTCAAATGGGATATGGTCTCATATCCTCTGTCAAGGTAACCAATGAAATGCAGGGTTAGCCAGTATATTTCACTCCAGTTTAATTTAGATAAATATAGTACACATTAAGATTTTCCCCATCAAATTCTATTTAAGGGGAGTTGATATAGTTTCAGGAACTTAATTCTCTTGTATATTTATGAATATATCATACCAGTGGTGAAAGTATTTTATATTGTAGCCGTGTAAGCTGTGGACTGGGAAGCAGATTTTCAGTGTTTTGTTGAGGCCAAACATTGATTGTCCTGTACGAGTGAATCTTAGAACTAAAGGAAAGAACTATTCTAATAATGAGGACCTCTGTTTCAATGATTCGTGTGAGTTTAAGATTGTTTATTTTTTGGTTTAAACTGCTGTATGAAACTACCAGCTAACGGGTACATTTGTTTTGTTATAGATAGAAAGGAAACACAACTATTTTATGATATAAACCTACATTTTAATGTAAGACTGAAAGGCATTAAGGCATTAATTCCTGTGAGACACATAGTACTGTGGGTTCATGTATTTTCGTTGGTACAAATTTCTTTGATTGAGGAAAAATTGTATTATTCTGGATACTTGATGTCGTGGTTTTGCCAAAGTCATCATACAAGCTTATAGAAAGTCTGTACAAGCTTATAGAAAGTCTGTACAAACTTATAGAAAGTCTGTACAAGCTTATAGAAAGTCTGTACAAGCTTATAGAAAGTCTGTACAAGTTTATACAAAGTCTGTACAAGCTTATAGAAAGTCTGTACAAGATTAAACAAAGTCTGTACAAGCTTATACAAAGTCTGTACAAGCTTATACAAAGTCTGTACAAGCTTATAGAAAGTCTGTACAAGCTTATACAAAGTCTGTACTGTTGAACATTTAACTTCATGGTTTCCAAGAAAATTTGTACCCCTTGAAAAAAAATAAATCCACAGTATGTGAATAAAGTATTTAAACCATTAAAAGTGATTATACTTACTCTGTTCTGTAGCAAGTTAACATTTTATATAGTTCTGCTTTAAACAAACCAAATAATGGTAAAGAAACTTCATAAGATGACATGAATTGTTTGATTGTACCAGCTTTTAGAAACCACTTAAAAGGTATAAAATATGAATTTTATTCACAATTAACAAAATCATGAATTTTATACATTTTGTTTTTGCAATTTATTGTTTTTAATTACAGTTATAGTTATTAGGAATAGCAAACTGTTGACTGGATCTATGGATAAAGCGACACTGGGATCAGGTTCTAAGACCAATATATTTTATATCATTCTACGAGACTACGGTGAAGTGTATGCTGCAGACACATTATCCAGACTTGCAAGGCTGTGTCCTGCATTCCTCTGTAAGTATGAAAAAAAGAATATGCCAATGGGACATTAATCAAACAACAAAAATAATCAAAAGACATCTAGAGGATAACACACCGGCTTGATCAATAGACCAGTGTCAATACAGTAAAGATCAGCATTTACACTTCACTGTCTGGAACACAGATAAAACAATGTTTTGGGCAATATAGATCAGTGATATTAATACATGTTTTGTTTTACACATCTGCTGGCTTTAATTTTGGTAGTTTATGAAGTATGAATGTTTTTTGGTCTTTGTGGATATGAATTAGAAATTGTTTTTTTGTCCACTGCGTAACGAGTTACGGGGGACATGAAAATACCGGGCATCCGTCCGGTCTTGTTAGCTCTCTTACAGGTTCAATTATTGCCAGATTTTTATATAACTTATACTATAGGTTAATATCAGCAATATCTCTGACAAGTTCTATAATGGTGGCCGATCGAATTTTTTAAAAGAGTTATGCCCCTTCGAAATATTAAATCTATGGAAAATGGCCTCGTTGACGCTCTCACAGGTACAATTTTTGCCAGATTTTTATAAAACTTATAATATAGGTTAATATCAGCAATATCTCAGACAAGTTTTATAATGGTGGCCGATCGACTTTTTTAAAAGAGTTATGCCCCTTGGAAATATTTAATTTATGGAAAATGGCCTTGTTAATGCTCTCACAGGTACAATTCTTACCAGATTTTTATAAAACTTATATTATAGGTTAATATCAGCAATATATCGTACAAGTTCTATATTGCTGGCCGATCGACTTTTTTTAAAAGAGTTATGCCCCTTGGAAATATTAGATTTATGGAAAATGGCCTCGTCTGCACTCTAACGGGTACAATTCATGCCAGATATTTATAAAACCTATACTATAGGTTGATATCAGCAATATGTCGGACAAGTATTATAATTGTGGCCGATGGACTTTTTTTAAAAGAGTTATGCCCCTTGGAAATATAAAATATGTGCAACGCGGGGTACATTGGAACTCTGTCCTTTTATTCTGTTTTGTTTTTCTCTCACCTTGACGGAGTCAAAAAGCGAAACATAGGTATGCTGTTTCCGGCATCAGTGGTGGCGGCGGGTGCAGCAGGGGCAGCGTTAACAATGTATTAGTTTGTGATAAATTCTAGTTTATGGTGAACCACTAGTGGTAGGTCAATGATATTTGGTATGCAGTTGTATTAGCATTGGCACATCTCATTTCCATGGAGGTTATTTGGATTCTCCCGCTCAGTCATGGTCTATTGACTTTGAAACGTTTGCTTACTTTACATGTATTAGTTTGTGATTAGGTCAGTTTATGGGGAACCACTAGTGGTAGGTCAATGATATTTGGTATGCAGTTGTATAAGAATTGGCATATCTCATTTCCATGAAGGTTATTTGGCCCCACCCCCACAGTCATTGTGTATTGACCTTTAAACTTTTGCTTAGTTTACATGTATTAGTTTGTGATTAGGTCAGCTTTTAAAAGGGGAACCATTAGCGGTAGGTCAGTGATAATTGGTATACAGTTGTATAAGCATTAGCACATCTCCTTTTCATGGAGAATATTTGGTCCTTACCCCTCAGACATGGTCTATTGACTTTGAAACTTTTGCTTAGTTTACATGTATTAGTTTATGATTAGATCAGTTTAAGATGAACCACTTATGTTGAGTCAATAATATTTGGTATGCAAGTCTCATTTCCATGGAGATTATATAGCCCCACCCTCTCATCATGGTTCATTGACTTTGAAACTTTTACATAGTTTACAAGTTAATGTTTGTTTTTAGGTTTGTTTAAAGGGAATGACTTATGAAAAGTCAATGGTATTTGGTATGCAGTTGTATTAGCATGGGTACATCTCATTTCCATGGAGATTGTTTAGCCCTGTACCTTCAATCATGGTTTATTGACTTTGAATATTTGCATAACTTACATGTTAAAGTATTGCTATTTTAATATCAACATTTGCATTATCAAAATAACAAACAGGTGAGACATATCTCTGTTTTAACAGTTTATTCTAGAATGAACAGTCAGTAAATTGACCTGATTGTGTAATGAAGATTAGGGATGTTATAGTGGAAAAATAGGTTTTGTTTATGCAAGTAAATATGTTTGTATCATGGTTTTTTAAAGTAAAAAAAAAGGCTTTATTTATAGAATGTTCACAGCAACACATATCAGAACTACCAGAACTACCTCTTCATAAACAATATTAACAATAGTAATGTTTTATGTTTCAATTTTAACATTAATGTTCATTTATAAATTTTTTAACTGTTTTTGATATTTTTCAGCAAATCGTGGTTTTTCTATTGGTATTGGTGATGTGACTCCAGGTCAAGGATTGATTAATGCTAAAAACCTTCTTCTTGATGATGGGTAGGTACAGCTTTTTTTAAGCTAGAACTTTTCATTCCGTTTATAATGTGTTTACTTGTCTTATTTTCAATATTATCATAGTTAGAGACACCTGTAGCACTGTTGAGGAAGTAAGACAAAAATTCATCAAATCTTTGCAGAAATTTTGGATTAAACAGTAAAAGTAAGAACCATCATTTAATTGTATAAAAAAAGTATTGAAGAAAAGGAGTAGGTCCGGTAAGGGCCGATTTAGGCCTCAAAATTCAGGTTCATCTGATGAAAGATTTTGGATTTTTTTTAAACACTTAAGTGTCTACTTCAGTCGATTCAATTAGTTTATGTGAAAGATTTGAACTGATTTAGTCATTAAAGACGCTCAAATTCAAGCTTAAATATGAAAAATCTATCAAATATGCCATACTATGTCACTTTTCAGATGGTTTTTGTCAAAAAGGAAAGTGGCCGCATCCGTGTTCATTCTCAACCTTTATATATGTTATGTATTATCATCAAATTCAACTTACATTTAAATATTAAGAATGAACACAAATGCGGCCACTTCCATTTCAGACGGAAACCGTCTAAAAATTAACCAAAATGCTAAAATTTCAAAGATTTCAGTAATTTAGCATGACTTAATGATGCTAGTACCCGATACATGTGCATTGTATTGTAAAAAACAGCCCATATTTATGTAACAGAAGTATTCTTCTTTCCAATAAATAGCTAAAAATTTACATTTTAACAATTTTGTAAAACTGCTATATTTTGGGGCCAAAAAGAGGTCTTACTGGGCCTACTCCTTTTATTTATACTGACTTTACTGTGTTTGAAATATATTATGCCCTACCTGTTGTAACACCTCGATAGTTTTCTTATATGCAAAGTAGTAAAGGGCCCTTTATGGTTTATATGCTTGATGCGAGTGTTGAACATGAGAAATTTTTTGAATAAGAAGTAAATGCTCTTTCCATCAATTACAATAAAAAAATGTTTTGACGTATAAAAATGTTCAGCCATATAAATGGCCTGTAATGTTTAACCTGAAAGCAATTCACCCAAAGAGGCATTACGAGTGAACACATCAGATGGGATTCATACCACATCTTCTTATTTTTATATTTGACAGTTAATTAGCAGGAGTCATTGTTTACTTACCAAATTACCATTTCCCGTCATTAAAACCTCGTCAGTTTTAAATAAGCAAATCTAGCTGGCGATCAATTACTATGCAATTAACCGAAACTACTGACTGTAGTAGTGACCCAGATTTCATGGTTAACTGAACATAAAAATGTGATTGTGTGAAATTACGAAAATTCTCAAGCTAAAGTTTTTGTTTATGGTAGTTTACATTGAAGTTGTGGTCACATCAACCTGAAACTTATTACACATGTTCAATGTTTTTATGCCAAATTATTATTTGACCTGAATTTCACGGTTTACTGAACATCGACACATGATAGTGTGAGCATGGAAGTATTATATTGACAGGAACTCCTACGAAAAATTAGCACATTCCCATCCCACTGATTTCTTGAAGAAAATAAAAGGTTCCGACTCAGTTTGTCAAGTACGTGATAACTCCTTTGTGGGGTATCTGCGATGCCGCCTTCGCCTGTTCTGTTAAATGAAGCTGGTCTTATCACGTGATTTGGTATCGAGTGTCTTATCTACCTACCAATGTAAATAAACACGGAAACTCCCGTGGTTATTTGTGAATCGTCAAAGTAATAACGACACCTGTTTCCGTTCAAAAAATAAAGACAAAAGCTGAAAAGATCGAAAAAATCGGTCCATATTTAACAGAATGACATAAGAAAATTAACTGCATTCGGAAAGAGGGCAAGCTTATTTTTAATATGTTTTAATCATTGAAACTTGGAAATCGGGAAATATCCGATATTAAAAATTACATGTACTTAAAGTCGGGTGTTCGCGAAAAACAGTGTGATGCACGTGTAGTGTGCCAGATGGTGCCGGATAGCTTAAATTTAAGTTTTAAGGTTGTTAATTTTTATCGAATGTTACAAGAAAATTTATTGTTTTCTTTATCGTCTCAATTTGAAAAATGTTACTAACGTATTTAACAAATATGTTTTAAAGACTAAAAGAGCTTTATAATTACACGCACGTGATGACCTCTACATAGCAATATCAGGTTACGAGACAGATGAATTGTTGCACCTTTTATAATAAGTCCAAAGTTGTAAACAAACCTTTAACATTCAACCTAGTCCGAGATTACTCAGACGTCTGACAGATTTTTTTTACGGATGGCATTTATTAATTCTGGTTCGGCATTTAAAGAAATTTGGTTTTTTTGGGATTTTTTTTTTGTGAAAACAGTCCCGGGGATTTCGTTTCTTTGTATTTGTTTTTACGCAGCAAAACCGGAAAAACTGACATATTTTTAACTGACATGGTCGGTTAATGTCGTTTCCTTGACAATTAAGTACACATCCTGTTATTTCGGTATGTTCCGTAATTACGATCAATCACGAGGTTCCAAAAATTTGATCGGAACCCATGCATCCATATGACATGTAGAGTTAATTAACAAATACTTAACGATTTAGCGGCATCACACTATAAATGTTTGAAGTCCGCTTGTTGGAGTTCCTGTCAATATAATACTTCCATGGTGTGAGTTAATTAGGTATGGTGTACTATGGACACATATTCTTGTTGGCAGGGATCTTGGTTACCTACAGATTAATAATATTAAGTAACAAATTAAAATATTTGTTTGCATGAAATTGTTTCAAACATGATTATTATGTAAACCATGCAATTTCAAAGTAGAAAAGTGTGAGTTACATACATTATTTATATCTATATGGTAAAAAAAAAAATGTTAATTAGAAACTAATTGTTCTCAAATGCTCATCTTTTGATTGGAAAAATTAACTTCAGGTTTAAAATGTCATTTCCGGTGTCAGAACATAGCTCATTTTTCACTGATTCCAAAAATATATGGTTTATGGTACTTTGAAAAAAACCGACTCAATTAGCCACTTCCAGTTTACTCAAAGTCACTTCTGGTATCAAATAATAGCTTACTTTACAGTGATTCCAAAAATATATGGTGTGGATGTACTTTTAATTGAAATATGTGTGATAATTTGCTACTTCCAGTTTTCAAAGAATCACTTCTGGTTTCATTCAACAGGTTACTTCACAATATGGTTTTATGTACATTAACAGGAAATTAGTGCAAAAAAAAGGTACTTCTGGTTTACTCAATGACACTTCTAGTTGAATTTTTCAAGTTCATATGTTTTCCAACTGAATTCAATAGATCTTATGGCTTCTTACTGTACAAGTATGAAGTTATAGCAAAGGTCAAAGTCAAAAACTTCAAATTTACCTTGACCTTGACCTCAATTTCAAGATCAAAGATCAAGGATCTAAAATCAAAAGACCTTAAGTCCCTTAAATGTATGATTAAGAAGTAATTTACCAAAAAACTTATTTTGAATATTTAATCGGAAAAAACTATAGAAAGACACCAGAGCACTTTTTACGAAATATATTGGTGTGGGTTAAGTCATAACTTCCAATCTGACAAAAGCATTATGTCGATAACTTTTACGGATCAGGAGGAGTTGCAATAACAAGCAAAGTAGAAAATTCAATTCGTAAGGTTTATAAGTTACACAGATGTTATGTAGAACATAGAAATCATGGAAATGGAAATAAGTCTTATTATAGGTACCAGATCACTTTGGTCCAAACTAAAGAGATCATCCTTAGGAAGTTAGGAACATTTTGGTGAAAAAATAACAATTAGAAAAGAATCAAAATTGTTTCCACATTACATCATAAATATATCAACAGGTATAGAAAATGTGATGGATATATCCAGGATTTAGAAGAAGGAAAACTACGGACTCAACCAGGATGCACTGAGGAAGAAACTTTGGAGGTTAATCCCTATTTTTAACTTTATGAAACTTGAACTTAATATGTAGTATTATTAACAGGAAAAGTCTGTGGCTGTATTATAGTATTTTTTTAACTTCGCTAAAGAAAAGTTACCTGGTTATTTTGATATTTGGACACAGCCATAGTTAAATAGTGCAGTTTTGTAGTAAATGGCAACTGAAGATGGAATAGAATTCTAATTACTTGTTTTATATATATATTGAATATAAGGTCTCCCTAAGAAATGTTTTTTTCTAATTTTAATCAAATTTAGAATGCTTATCTACAAAAAAGAAATTGTTTTCATAAGTGGGATACAAATTATATAGAGTGTATTATGAATCAACCAAATAGAGAAGATAACCTTCACTTACATATTATATAAACAATTGAAAAAAAACTATTTCGACATATTTTATTCTTTCCTCTATTCTTACATTTGGAAAACATAACTGAATTATTGATTTAACATGTATTTACCAACCATTTGCTTTTCTTTAACAAAGATTATTATTGGAGAAAATCCATGTTAGTTTTTGTTGACCCTGCGACTTCTGTCGCAGAAAGCTTGACATAGGGATAATGATCCGGTGATGGTGGCGGCGGTGTTAACTAACTTCTTAAAAGCTTTATATTTTAGAAGGTGGAAGACCTGGATGCTTCATACTTTGTATGTAGATGCCTTATGTTATGAAGTTTCCGTCTGTCATATGTCCATTGTCCTTGACCTCATTTTCATGGTTCGGTGACTACTTGAAAAAAAAGTTAAAAATTTTTGTAAAGTTAATTTCTTTCTTATTATGATTAATACAGTCAGAGCTCTGACATAAACAAGTCAGAATAAAATGACTTCTTAAAGTCAGAAAGTGTTTTGAAATTCTGACCTGTACGCGTCAGTTTTTGTTTTGCGTAGTTTTCACTCGAGTCCGTCAAACCAGAAGTTATTTTGAATTTGCCGCCGATCTACGACACATACGATCACGTGTTTTTTTGCAAGAGATCACGTGTTTGAGAGTCGTTGTTTTGGAAGTGTCTCGAACGAGAAGTCATTGAATATTATATTGATTATTTACGATTTTTAGTGAAAATCTAGGTCATTGTGGGCATTTTTAGAAAGGTAATTCATATTACCTCCGTATTTTCATGGGCATTTTTATATTTTTTGCCTATAAAGAAGTTCCTTGCAAGTGATTTTTTTGCTGTTTCATGAAGGCGCGCGACCTGTAAATACGGATGCGTGGTCTTTGAGATGACCTGGTGTTTGACAATTCTGACTTGTTCAGGTCAGAAAATGTTGTTATGATAATGAATTGTTATTTTCGGGAGATAACTCGTGTTGTCTTAAACAATATTAACATTACTAACCAGTCAGTGCAATTTAAAAAGTAAAATTATTGCTTCGAGCTGAACATCGTCACATGATTTTTCTATTTTTAAACTCAATCACGAATTGATTTTAACCTTTCCGATTCGTTTCTCCCTATGAGAAAAACGATCATTGTGAATATTGATATGATGATAATGAAACGAAAATGGAAAAAATTTTAATAAAAGAAAAAGAAAGGGAGGGGTTTAACTAAAGAATTTATTTTTTATTTCTAAAGTTACAACTTAAGAACAATAAGTGATGCACACACCTGGTCTTCATTTATGATCATGGGACATGATAAAACAAATCAAATGAAATGTAGGGCAAGTCTCCTGGGATCACCCCTATCCCTGTTATTTCTCTATTCCTCTATTGAAAACTTGTTACAATTATTTCTTGTTTATTTTAATCTGCTGAGAGACCACCTTTACATATTATATTTATCAGAGTTTGTGCAAACAGAATTGTCTATTCAGTATTATTTTCCTCTCACATGCATCACATCTTATTAATTACATGGATATAGGAAGATGTGATATGAGTGCCAATGAGACAACTCTCCATCCAAGTTACAATTAATAAAAGTAAACCATTATAGGTCAAGGTACGGCCTTCAACACAGAGCATTGGCTCACACCGAACAGCAAGCTATAAAGGGCCTAAAAAAATTACAAGTGTAAAACCATTCAAACGGAAAAACCAATGGTCTAATCTATATAAAAAAAAAAATTTTGGCATATTTGTTTTCCTCTGAAATTACACATCTATAATTCTTACCCCAGATGCTTAGCCACATGAAGCATTTACCTCTTATTTAAGACATAGATAGTCTTTGTTTCTACAGAAGTGAGAAGAACATTGGAAGTCAGAATGTTCTGACTTATAAAAGTCTGAATGTTCTGACTTAATAAGGTCAGAAAGACTCAGAATGATCTGAAAATACTGACTTTTTTGATGTTTAGAGTATTTTAGACTATGAATGCACTTGTCATGCTAGTACCATAAGAAACCCTGACAAGATTTTGTTCCCAAACAACAATTTTTAAAGATATTAAGAATAACAAGTGTACAATGGAACATAAATTACAAAGTTATAAGTGTTGTGAAAAAAGCTATTTAAAAAAAAATCAATAGATAGTTATCTTTCAACTTTTACATGTATTTAAAAACAGTGAAAATATTATGCATTATATGTACGGCTTCTTGAAGGACAACAAAGTCACCATATTTGGTCTGAATTTGTATGTTTTTCCTCCTTTTTAACATTAATAATGTCGGCTTTTTTCTTAACTAATTTTAAACATTCTTAATTATAATTAAATTTCCCCAACATTTTGCTTACAAACTCTTTAATTTCTAAAGTCAAATTGAAAGTTGTCTTCACAGATTCAATGTGTCTGAAAATGTTATATTGAAAAACAATACTTTTATATCCTCAAATAAAATGGGCATACCATGAGTTTAATGGTCATGCAGATATGCAATCCAGAATGTTAACAATCAGAGTTTAGATTACAGTCATATAGTAATAGGCAGAGTTTTTCTTATATAATCAATAACCAGAGTGAAGATAATTGATTAATAGAGGTTTATTTTAATATAAGTAATAAACAAAGCTAATTAATACACTTGCAATCACATACATGTAGTTAAATTAGTAAATACAGAATATTCATACAAAATTCAGACAGAAATACTGTAATAGGTCAAGTCATTAGGGACGACATCAAAAGTTCAATGTAGGATAACAAACTTAATTCACATCACATAGTTTTTTCACTGACCCACCTACCCCCCCTCTTAACTTAATTTGGGAAAGATTGATTGACCAATATGGATTTATGTAAAATCAATTTTGGATAAACAAAACTTGCAGCAACTTTAACCCCACCCCCACCCCCACCCCCAAATTATTTGATTTAAGTTTTTTTATCCTACATTGGTCTTTTGATGGCATCCCTTAGAATGTGCTGACTTTGTACATGAATTGTAGTGATAGTTATGGCACCCATACAACATGTAGGAATCAGTCAAAAGGAGAGAAAAATTCCCGAAATTTATCACATAGTGACATTTGTGAGTCGGAATAACAAAATATAGACTCATTAATCTCTCCATCTTTTCAAAAAATATGAACCAGATTTTATGCATATCCATATAGTTTTTGACGGACTCTTTTAAGTCAGAACATGATTTGACCTGTTTGAGTCAATTTGCAGAACAAAATTTCCAATCAAAGCTATGTGTTCTTCCTCTTAGCCCCCTTCTGAATCTGCCACTGTTGAGTTTATTAATTGATTTTTCCATACATTATCATTAATATCAAATGGCAATGCCTGACTTAATAATTTCAATAAATTTAGTTTTTGACTGATTTTTTAAAGTCAGAACATGACTTGACCTGTTTAAGTCAATTTGCAGAACAAAATTTCCAATCAAAGCTAGGTGTACTTCCTTTAAGCCCTGCATTGCCCGGCTTAAATATTTCAATAAATTTATTTTAGTTTTGGACTGACTCTTTTAAGTCAGAACATGATTTGACCTGTTTAAAACAAAATACATTTAATATTGAATATACCAAATAAACTTTTTTATAGTCCTCATTATTGTGACTTATGGGGACTTTATTCTCTCTGTCTTTTATCTGGCTCACCTATATATTTTTAAATCAATATGACAATACTAGACTTAAAAGTTGTAATAAGTTAAGTTTTATTTGACTCTTTGAAGTCAGAACATGATTTGACCTGTTAAAGTCAGTTTACAGAACAAAATTTCTAATCAAAACTGGTCTTTTCCTCTAAGCCCCCCCCCCTAATCTGAATCTGCTACTGTTGAGTTAATTAATTGATAAGTTTGTTTAGAAACAATTCAGTCAAATGGTTTTTAAAATAATATTTTTTATAACCAAAAGTTCCATATGTTAACTTAACAGAAAAAAAAGTCATGAAAATGCAGAAATAGAATAAAATTTTAAGATAATTTGATGAAATTTGTAAACAAAATACATTTGAATATTAAATATACCAAATAAACTTTTTTATAGTCCTCATTATTGTGACTTTATTATTGGGTGTCTTTTATCTGATTTTCCCATACATTCTTAAATGCATATGACAATTCCAGACTTAAAAGTTGCAATAATTAGTAAAAGTATAGTTTTTGACTGACTCTTTGAAGTCAGAACATAATGTGACTTGTTCAAGTCAGTTTGCACAACAGGATTTACCTCAATGAAATATTAAGATATCAAATATATACCAAATAAACTTTTATATAGTTCTAAAAATTGTGACTTAATATTTGTGATCTTTTTTCCTACTTGTATCCATACATTCTAACAATCACATCACAATCATGACAATGCCCCGACTGTTACAGTTGCAATCCATTTAGTGTTTGACAGACTCTTATAAGTCAGAACATGATTTGACCTGCTTGAGTCAGTTTACAGAACAAAATTTCCAATCAAAGCTAGGTGTTCTTCCTCTAAGCCCCCCCTCCTAAATATGAATCTGCTACTGTTGAGTTAATTAATTGATAAGTTTTTTTAGAAACAATTCAGCCAAATGGTTATTAAAATATTATTTTTTTTGGCAACCACAAGTTCTATGTGTAAACTTAACAGAAAAGAAAAGTCATGAAAATACAGAAATAAAATAAAATTTTAAGATAATTTGATGAAAATCTTTAAAAACAAAATGTATTTGATATTGAATATACCAAATAAACTTTTTTATAGTCCTCATTATTGTGACGTAAGGGGACCTTATTTCATCTAGCTTTTATCTGGCTTTCCCATACATTTTAAAATCAATATGAAAATCCTAGACTTAAAAGTTGAAATAAGTTTAGTTTTGTTTGACTCTTTGAAGTCAGAACATGATTTGACCTGTTAAAGTCAGTTTACAGAAGAAAATTTCCAATCAAAACTAGGTCTTCTTCCTCTAAGCCCCCCCCTTTTTCCCTTTATCTGAATCTGCTACTGTTGAGTTAATTAATCATGTTAATTGATAATTTTTTTTAGAAACAATTCAGTCAAATGGTCTTTAAAATAATATTTTTTACAACCAAAAGTTCCATGTGTTAACTTAACAGAAAAGAAAAAGTCATGAAAATACAGAAATAGAATAAAATTTTAAGATAATTTGATGAAACTTGTAAACAAAATACATTTGAATATTACATATACCAAAAAAACCTCATTATTGTGACTTTATTATTGGGTGTCTTTTATCTGTTTTTCCCATACATTCTTAAATGCATATGACAATGCCAGACTTAGAAGTTGCAATAATTAGTTAAAGTATAGTTTTTGACTGACTCTTTGAAGTCAGAACATAATTTGACCTGTTTAAAACAAAATACATTTAAATATTGAATATACCAAATAAACTTTTTTATATAATCCTCATTATTGTGACTTTAGGGGACCTTATTTCCTCTGTTTTTTATCTGGCTCTCCCATACATTTTTAAATCAATATGACAATACTAGACTTAAAAGTTGTAATAAGTTTAGTTTTGACTGACTCTTTGAGGTCAGAACATGATTTGACCTGTTAAAGTCAGTTTACAGAACAAAATTTCCAATTAAAGCTAGGTGTACTTCCTTTATTCCAAGAAAGTCCATGCTTTCAGACTGCTTCTGAATCTGCCATTTTCGAGTTTATTATTTGATAATTTTTTAGAAACAATTAAGTCAAATGGTTATTTATTTTAGGGGATCTTAACATATATTTCCTGTGTCTTTTATCTGATGTTCCCATACATTCATTTAATATCATATGGCAATGCCCGGCTTAAATATTTCAATAAATTTATTTTAGTTTTGGACTGACTCTTTTAAGTCAGAACATGATTTGACCTGTTTAAAACAAAATACATTTAATATTGAATATACCAAATAAACTTTTTTATAGTCCTCATTATTGTGACTTATGGGGACCTAATTTCCTCAGTCTTTTATCTGGCTTACCTATACATTTTTAAATCAATATGACAATACTAGACTTAAAAGTTGTAATACGTTTAGTAAGTCAGAACATAATGTGACTTGTTTGAGTCAGTTTGCACAACAGTATTTACCTCAATGAAATATTAAAATAATAAATGTTTTGCTCTTAATACATTTAGCTTAAAGTGGATGAGAATATATCTTTTATTAACATAGTCTTATCATGAATAAGTGTCTTGTTTTTCCTTGGAAGATTTGAAGTATTGTCATGGTACTAGTAAATGTATCCAATATTGTAATTTGTAAATCTTTTGATATTCAGAAAATTGTATGATCCATTTTTTCTCGCCTGGTTTTTCTTTGTATTTTGAAATAATTGAAAGTGATGAGATAAATATATTATGTTTAGATTCTGGAAAGGAGAAGGTATGATGTCAGATGAACCCCACTTTTTAAAACTCTTTAATTCGAAACTAGTAATCACCATATTTTTATGGAGATTGATAACAAAGTGGTAGTAATGACTGCTTCAAATCAGAACAAAAATGACCTCTCGAAGTCAAAATGCATTAAAAAGGGGCATAAATCTTATTAGAATATGAAGATATTAAGTCACAATATTTTGTGCAAAAGCTGACCTGTGGAAGTCATTTTATGATAAATTAAAGTCTGACATAAACTGACCTGTACAAGTCATATTCTGTTGAGTGCAAGAAGAGAGACAACACTTACATCAAATTATATCTGACCTATGGAAGTCATTTTATTCTGACTTGTTTATGTCAGAGCTCTGACTGTAATAGGATAACTATATTTAGTATGTGCGTACCTTACAAGGTCCTCATGCCCGTCAGATAGTTTTCATCTGACCTCGACCTCATTTCATGGATCAGTGAACAAGGTTAAGTTTTCGTGGTCAAGTCCATATATCAGATACTATAAGCAATAGGTCTACTATATTTGGTGTATGGAATGATTGTAAGATGTACATGTCCAACTGGCAGATGTCATCTGACCTTGACCTCAATTCATGGTTCAGTGGTCAAAGTTAAGTTTTTTGTGTTTTGGTCTGTTTTTCTTAAACTATAAGCAATAGGTCAACTTTATTTGTGGTATAGAAGGATTGTAAGGTGTATATGTCTGTCTGGCAGGTATCATGGGACCTTGACCTCATTTTCACAGTTCATTGGTCAATATTAAGTTTTCATTGTTAAGTTTGTTTCTTAGATACTAAAAGCAAAAGGTCAACTATATTTAAGGCATAGATTGATTGTAAGGTGTACATGTCTGTCTGGCAAGGTTCATCTGACCTTGACCTCATTTTCATTGTTCATTGGTCAATGTTTAGTTTTCCTGGTTAAGTCTGTTTCTTAGAAACTATAAGCATTAAGTCAACTATATTTGGTGTATTGAATGATTGTAAGGTGTACATGTATTTCCTGTTTGATTTATCTGACCTCGATCTCATTTTCTTGGATCATGTTAACTTTGTGTGATACTTGTAGTAAAGCTTTATATTTAGGACTAACAACATAAAATCAATGGTCAGTAAGGAAGGCGAGACATTTTAGTGTGTGCACTCTTGTTGTCAGAGAATAAATAATTCATAATACATGTCAATTTTTCAGGCAATGATTTTGAAGGAGTTGTCAGTTATCAGAGACCACACAGGAAAAGCTTGTCTGAGAGAACTGGACAAAAGTAATAGTCCATTGAATATGGCTATCTGTGGATCAAAAGGTATATTTTGTTATTAGCAAGTTCAGTAGCCCTCACATATATTTTTTTGAAACTTATATCATAGGTTTATATAAGCAATGTCTTGGACGAGTTTGAAAATCAGTCCCGATCAATTATTTTTGAAAGAGTTATGCCCTTGGTACCATTAATTATATTGAAAATTGCATCGTAAGTGCTTTCATTTGTACAATTCTTGCCAGATTTTTATGAAACTTATATCATAGGTTTATATAAGCAATGTCTTGGACGAGTATGAAAATCATTGCCGATCAATTATTCTTAAAAGAGTTATGCCCCTTGGAAACATTAATTTTATGGAAAATTGCATCGTTAGCGCTCTCATGTGTTCAAATCTTGCCAGAATTTTATGAAACTTATATCATAGGTTTATATCAGCAATATCTTGGTCGAGTTCGAAAAATCAGTGCCGTTCAGTTATTTTTAAAAGAGTTGTGCCGATCAATTATTCTTAAAAGAGTTGTGCCCTTGGAGCATTATTTATATTGAAAATTGCACTGTTAGCGCTCTCATTTATACAATTCTTGCCCGTTTTTTATGAATCTTATATCATAGGTTTATATTAGCAATGTCTTGGACGAGTTCGAAAATCAGTGCCGATCAATTATTTATAAGAGAGTTATGCCCCTTGGAAACATTAATTTTATTGAAAATTGCATAGTTAGCGCTCTCATCTGTTCAATTCTTGCCAGAATTTTATGAAACTTATATCATAGGTTTATATCAGCAATGTCTTGGACGAGTTCGAAAATCAGTGGCGATCAATTATTCTTAAAAGAGTTATGCCCCTTGGAAACATTAATTTTATGGAAAATTGAAACTTTAGCGCTCTCATGTGTACAATTCTTGCCAGATTTTTATGAAACTTCTATCGTAGGTTTTAAATCAGCAATGTCTTGGACGAGTTCTAAAAATCAGTGCCGATGAATTATTTTTTAAAGAGTTATGCCCTTGGAAACAGTATTTATATTGAAAATTGCATCGTTAGCGCTCTCATTTGTACAATTTGTAGCAATGTTTTTGACACTTTCGAAAATAAGTTCTGATAAAATATTTTTAATGAGTTATGCCCCTTGGAAATATAAATTATAATGGAAATCACATTGCATTTGCTCTGAAGCCTTCATTTCTCTTAAGATATTGATAAAAAGTTTTAAAGAGCCAAAAAAGTGCTTTTTTAACTGGATTTTCGAAGGATTTGGGGATGTACAGCGGGCTAGTGGGCGGGCGGGGGCGGACGGGCGACTGCCAAACAGTGCCTGTTCATTAACAGGAAAACACTTTGACGAAATTTTTCAAATTTAGATATGTTGTTTCCTGTGACTAAATAAAGGCCAAGTTCAATTTTCAGGATTTTAGCTTTTCTCTTTGTTGAGTTATATCCCTTTCCAATAGTCAAAAGTGGTACTTATTATGTGATTGAGTTATTTCCCTTTGAACAGGAATGGTTAATTATATATACAAAAGTTTGATTACACTTACAGAAAAGTTTTATAGATTTTTAAAAGACATTGTATTAATGATAAGTGACATTTTGGATTTTTTTTTCTTTTCTTTGGTAAATTGTATGAAAAATTTGTGGTAGGTCTGTTTGTTATTCTGTATAAACTAATTTTCTGAATGCTATATTTATATATATTTTTTTTGTGAAGTGAACTCCTTTAAAAACTAAGCTTATATTGTCTATTAATAAACATATATTCTTGGGGTTCTTTGATATGCTGATTCTAACAATGTTTTAGTGGTTAAATCATATATAATTTTATTGATTATAATTTGAAAGTATATAACATCATATCTAATTTTAGAGAACTATTTTTAGTTGGAAAATAATATCTAATTTTAGAGAACTATTTGTTTATCATTTATTCAGTTTGAGTTATTTCCCTTTGAACAGAAAATTAATAAGTATATGGATAACATTAAACTGTGTTTCATTTCAACATAAATTAAATATATATAGGGTTCTTTCAAATGCTGAATCTAGACCTGTATTTAAACATTGGATTTTTGGGCCCAGTTTTCAAGTTGGTCCATATCAGGGTACAAAATAAAACTTTTTTTGATTTCAACAAACATTGAATTTATGGGTTTTTGAAATGCTGAATCTAACCATGTATTTAGAGATTTTGGATTTTGGGCTCCTTTATCAAATTGGTCCACATTGAGGTCCAAAGGGTCCTAAATTAATATTTTGTTTGATTTCATCAAAAATTGAATTCTTGGGGTTCTTTGATATGCTGATTCTAAAAATGTACTTAGATTTTGGATATTTGACCATAATACCATTAAATTTGTTAAATAAGCCGCAGGTTTTTTTCTCTGTCATTGTCCCTGCGTGTTATATATATGTATGTATTTTTTCAGTGTTTCAGGGCAAGCGTGAAAAAAAAATAATGTCTGGATTTTTTTTATGGAGACCGTCAGATTGTCAAGTGCTTGCAGTGACTTGATAAATTGTTCATGTGGCATATTTTGTTATGAATAAAAATATATATACTTTAACATTTATTCTTTATTTCATTGTTGGCTTACGAAGTTGATAACCATGTGTTCATTACATAAACAAAGAAAGATAACCGTGTTTGAAAGAGGTACCTTACAGGATATTAATTGTGTATTTACAATAAATATGTAATTGTTTGTTGTTTTAAAATGTTTTTAAATAAAATCTCCTAATGGAATAATAAAGGAAGTGATTGTGTTTCTTTCCAATATATCAAGTCTCTTTTAATGATGATGGTGATAACCATGTGTTGAAATGAACCCTTTAAAGTGTTTCATAAACAAAGAAAGATAAGTGTGTTTGAAAAGAGGTACCAATAACCATACAGGATACACTATTGAGGATTAACTGCTTGTTGTTTTATTGTGTTTCAAAATGAAATATCTTTATGAAATATTGTAGCCACATATTATCGGATGTATGAAATAAAAAAAAAAATATGAATTTTCATATTTAATATGCTAATACATTTATATATCGCCGTCTTATTTGAATTCCCCTTTCCGTGGCCCATCTCACTTTCAGTTAAAAATAGACAATGACTTGCAGAAACTGAATGGTTTTGTTGGTAGTTTTCAACCAAGTTTAAATTGAAAAGTGTTTGAAGCTAATAAACTAAAACTTTTATTTTATAGACAACAATAAAATTCTTCAAATTTGATTTGATAATTTGTTTCCCCCCCCCCGACTTATGTGTGACCAGTTAACATGTGGCTACAGGTACCCGGTCAGGCCTCTACAATAACTTTTTTTTCAACTTGTCCAGTAGGACAAGTACATACCAAAACTTACTTGTCCGAATGAAATTGTAACTTGTCCAAAAAAAATCTTAATAATAACCATTTTTGCATTTTAAGTTGATTCAAGGAACAAAATGAATTAAAACAAAAGAACAGAATTTGATTTATATCTTTTGAAATACTTTACAAAAATATGAGTCGAGAACAACTGAATCTAGTCATGTCACAGGACTTACGTTCTAGCTTTCTTTAGTGCCAAAGTCTCATCAGACTCTGCACATGAGGCACTGTCTGATAAGCCTGTCAATGTACACTCATTGGATTTGTATCTTGGTTTTTAGGTTGAAAAAAGTTTTTTCAAATGCAATCAATAAAAAAAAAAAAGATGTGGTATGATTGCCAATGAGACAACTCTCTGCAAGAGACCAAATGACACAGAAATTAAAATATATAGGTCACCGTATTGCAAGTATTGTTTTTTTTCTACAAATGATGAAATATGATTTTGTGAATTTTATGGTAAATAATTTCTTCATTTTATTTTTTTAAATATTTTTTGTTAAAAAAATTACCGGTATGGTATTTATTATAAAGCAACAGAATAAGTTCGAAAACCAGGTACTGATTTGTTTTGGTCCCGAAATGTCTCCTGCGTTGCCAAACTGTCTATTAATCATGTCTATTAAATATGTCTTATTAAATTTGGAGCGGAATCGTTTTTCCAGCTGGTGACAACTGTCTTGAAAAGTTTCCTTATCTACAAAGCGGATCAGTAAGAGGGTTACACTAATGACTGGACCCAATGACACCCTCAGTAAGACTGGTTTCCGAGAAAAGTATGCCTTTTACCTCTAAAAAAGTACCTGACAAAGAACCAGTTTTAAAGTATCGATTGCAAGTAAACATGTCAAATTAGTACTTGTTTTTATCTTCTTTTCTTGTTTTTTGTTTATAATTACTTTGTTCATCAAAGTTGGATTAAATTTATTTTCTGCAGAATAATTTTACTTGTCCCGTCGGACAAGCTTGATATAGCTTTTACTTGTCCGACCTTTTTTTCCTCTGGTACCGGACAATCGGACAAGTGTTATTGTCGAGGCCTGCCGGTATTAGGTAATAATCAAGGTAAACAATGGCAGTTTTATGGCTTGAGTGACCTTTAATAAATACATTTTCAAGAAGATTAAAATCCTTGGTGTCTTCCTCCTATTCCCACTTTTTAAAAATCACTATTCCTTCTATTCCCACATGCAAATAACAATAGATGTTTTGATAAATAATTTGTTTTTATAACAACCAAGGTTAATTAAAAATTCACCTAAGATTTACCTGTATTTTTAAAAAGAAAACATATTTCTTACACTGTTTAATAGAATTGAGAATGGAATTAAGTATAATATTATTTAAAAAAAAAAATAATTTAATACACTTTTTATTTGTAATACTTGAAAATAAAGAATAAGTCAGATAAATAGAAGTAAGATTAAATAATCATTGAATTTGTCATTTTAAAAATTTGTCATCCGAACAAATAAATTGATGATAGACAATTTTATAACAAACTTTCTTGCAAGATTTTCATGTACAACAAACGCAAGAAGAACCTCATAGTTTTACCAAAAACTATTGATGAAATCAACATAGATGGTATTTGGGCAACACAGTTGGACGTATGTTAATCTTCAGTACTCAAAATAATCTAACACACTAAGCAGCTGAAAATATCATATATGGTG